ATCCACTCATAGCACTTCTTATTTTACAAACCTCTGTGCAACTGATCCCTTCCTTTGCTGCCACCTGACTTTGCTCAGAAGAGTCATGTGGGCAATTCCTGTCCTGTGCAAATGCACGTGACATGTTCTCCAGGTTCTATGTTAAAAGGTTTCTACATTTTCCTTAAAATTGCTGATTTTATGAATATAGAATGTGGTTTGACCTTTTTTTCAGTACTCTCAGGAGATGTTTCTGTCCCTCTCCCTCCACTGCCTTCCTCTCTTCCTCCCTCCCTTCCCTAACTCCTCTCTCTCTCTCTCTCTCTCTCTCTCTCTCTCTCTCTCTCTCTCTCTCACTCTCTCTCTCCCTGCTTTGTTGTTTCCAGCTTGTTTTATTATTTGACCAGGATTACTAATCTGGGGTAATTAGCTGCACATTTTTTAGTACTAAATCCATTCAAGTAATTTGAGTTAGAATAAAAGCTCTTCATTAATCTGTCTGACTATGCACAGTGTTGGAGGCTCTGCTTGGCCCCACAGTCCAGGCAGTTTGCCCCTCATGATATAATGTCTCCACAGAGGCCCCTGCAGCCCTTTCAGTGCCCACATGTTATAAAGGAGGACTTTGCCACAAGAACCAAGCTGTGCCAGGCAGGCAGTGCAGCAGGGATGGTGTCCCTGGTGTGCCTGTTCCTGTGGCTCTGGGCCTCAGGGGAGCAACTTAAGTACTTCAGTGGCCTCAGAGTAATAAATTTGTGGAGTTGGAATAGCAATTAGAAGATGGACTGGGAAGCAGTGGCTATATATATATATATATATATATATATATATATATATATATATATATCTTACTGTTTGCTGACTCACAAGACCCTGGCAAAGGGATTGTAGATGGTATTTCAAAGTACAAATGACACAGTGTGTGTTTGTGTGTGTGTGTATTTGTGTGTGTGTGTGTGTGTGTGTGTGTTCATAGTTCATTGTTCATTTCCCTGATTTCAGGTGCCTGTGCAGACAGCATTCTGTGTCTGCAGGAGACATGGTCACCATCAGCTGCAAGTCTAACCAGAGTCTCTTATTCAACCAGAGCACGACAGGGCCTGGAACCAGCATAAACCAGAACAGGGTCCTGGCCTGATCCTCTCCTGAGTGCCCCCAAGGGCAGCTGGGGTCCCAGTGTTGTTTAGTGGCAGAGGGCCAGGGACAACTTTCCACAACAGGCTCCAGGGTGAGGCAGTGTACAACCACATGCTTCCCCCACAGAGCTTCAGACTCAAACGTGAACCTCCTGCCAGGCCAAGGGTTAGTGAGTCTTTGCCAGTTGCTTTCTCCTCAGAGGACATTCAAGTATCCTTCTTGCTGAGTATCACATGTTTCTGATTTATTCCTTGAATAGTTTGCAAGTCCCACGGAAAAATTAAGAAAATGTGCCTGTTTTAGATCCTAACCTAATTAAATATAGGACTAATATGTGACACAACTATCCCTCTGCTGGACATTAACTCAAGGGAACCAGGTCACCAACTGGGATGACCACACAGCCATGATCACTGCAGAATTCTTCACAGTGTCTATGAGGAGACAGACAAAGGCTTAACTGGTGGGTGAAAGGACAAAGGAATAGGCTCTTTACAGGTCAAAGACAGGAGAGGGCACAGTTAGGAGGCCATTGCCAACACCCAGGTGGGCTTGGTGGGTTCGCTGGTGCAGGGAGATTAAAGTGGGGGGAGCATGGAGGGGTCCATTTTGGAGATGGAGCTCTCTACCGGTGCCCCCTCTCTGACCTGCCCATCATTGAGTCCTTCTCTCTCAAGACTTCTGCCTGTACTTGCAGAAACTGCTACTGCCTCCATTCCTCTGGTTTTCTGGACCTGCTCAGAGCCATAGAGCTGTCTTTTGAGGAGTCTGGGTGGTGGGCCTTTATCCCCCAGTTTCTCTTCTACAGGGAGCTGGGACCCTGACCCTTCCATGTGGAGGGCTCTGTTCCCAGGGCAGTCCTCTCTGCATGAAGACAGGGGTCTCTGGTGTTTAGAAGTCACCTATGCTCCTGGCCTCCTGGGACATGCTCAGAGTAGGCCAAACCTAAGGAGGCATTGGCCCTGGAGGCCAAGTTTAACAAGCTCCCCAATTTTGATATTTGCATGAATCATATTTGAATACAACATTAAAGAAAACTAAATGAATGTAAATATACTTCAGTATTAAATAAAGTGATAATTAAAAAAAAACACAGGATCTATCTTGAACATGAAGTCACAAATAGGGAAAGGTTTGTGTTGTGGCATTTTGGTTTTGAAGGATACTTCCATGCATGGATTGTCTTTTATTTTATCTATCTATCTATCTATCTATCTATCTATCTATCTATCTATCTATAGATAGATATCTGAAGATGGCAATGAGGTTCAGAGAGGAGTGGTAAGCTGGTATTAAGGACCATCTCAGCAGGAGATTGCATATCTTCTGCAGTGCATAGAGCCACCAGTGTGTGTCGCTGTCTGCTGTGGGCTGTCAGGAGTGTCTCCCATGAGGGCAGAGCACTAGGGTCATTTGGATGAACCAAGTCCAGGTCCTGGTGCAAACATGTTCTGTTCCAGTCTGTTTACCACATGTAGAATGCAGACAAAGGACAGGCGAGGCGTCTGACTCTTCATAATCTGATATTCTGAGATGCTGAAGCAGCTCTGAGCCTTTGGCCCCACATCAAAGGAATCCTCACAAGAGGAAGGCAAAGGGCCCTGAAAAAGGAGAGACCTTCAGGGGACTGTGCAAAGTGTGGGCTGGGCCAGCAGAGGGCAGCAGTGAGCACTCTCATTTCAAGGTCCCCTTCAGATCTTGCTGCTGTTCAGGGACCCTGCATGAGAAGGTGTCTGGACCATTTGTGGGAAATTAGGGAGAGCTGGAGAGTGCACGGGACACAGGGCATTGCTCTCTGTGGGTTCGGGAGGCTACTGTAGACTGGTCTTGCTGCTCATTAGGGGGAAATTTTTTTTTTATGGCACTTCTCATGTTAGGGTGGGCAAAGCTGAAGCTCACTAGGTGGTGTGAGCCTGGGCACCGTGAGGCCACCTGACCTCAGGGAGCATCTCCCTGGAGTGAACTCTTACTTGGAAGTCTCATGGAAGAAGAGATATGTTTAAGTTCACACACACAGGATAAAAGGCACACATTTTATTACTTGTGATGAGAAAAAAAAATTACAAGCTGAGGTTCAAACTGTTCCAAGAGACAGCAGTGGGAACAAGAAAGTATTTGTTCACTTCACACTGACCTTAGATGACAAAAGAAGTCCCATCTTGAAGGATCTCATGAAATAAGTTCAGCATATTTGGAAAGGTGTATGTTGGATGTCTTTGATCCTGCTGTTTCTTGGATCTGGACTCTGTACTGGAGAAGCGGGATAGGATACCTGGTTTGACTTGACACCTGGTTTTGCCCTTAGCTCGTCCTGAAGTCAGTGCGTGACCTCGTTAGACACATCTGCTCTGCCCTCTTCCCTTGTTCCCATAACAGTTGGGTTCTGAACTTCTCTCTGCGTGTGAATGTCTGCCCCATTTGATGGTCAGGTGGGAGCTGTAGAGCATCATTGTGGAGAGCAGAGGGCACAGGACCCTGCGGACACAGAGGTGGCTCACATTCAAGTAGGTTCCTCTCACTGAATTCTGTGCTAGGATGTTCCACTTCTTGACCACCAGTGGGTGACATGAACTGGGGGGATATACACTCACCATAGCCTCAGCCCTGGAGAGACTGATCTATATTTCAAGCATAAATTTAATTTTACATTTTTACATGTTAAGACAGCATTGTTATAGGAACTGAGTGAGACACCTGTCACTCAGGTTGTCTTTTGTGCATTCATAGCAATCAGGATGGAGGTCACCACTGTACTTGTCACAGCTGGCACCGCAGCATATTGTTAAGGCTGTGTGCTCCTGGGCCAGGCAGGGGTGCTCCACAGAATCATATGGGGACCCAGGCAAGGGAGGCTCCATCCCCGTGTGCACCATGTGGAGCCCATGTCCTCTTCCCTCTGCTCCTGTGGGAGAGGAGGCCTGGAATGTGAGTGAACATTATTTTTATCTGTTAAAGAATATGGTTCCCGCCCCCCGCCAAAATCACTCTTCAACAAGACAAACCATGAAAGAGAAAAACAAAAGACACTCTTTATTTTTACAGAGATAAGTCAGCTCATTAGCACTCTTACACTTCATGGACAATTCAGGAACTACTCAACACTTCCATCCATAGACCTTCTTTCTGTGATGCTCACATTATGTAAGGTGCATGCATGTTTTCATTACCCAGTGAAACAATATTACTTTGTGTGAACAATGGACAATACATCTTTGTCATCATTTTTTTTAAACTTCTTACTGTTTGTCTGCATGCATTCAATTATTTTGTGTAAAATATTGCCCTAACCCAGCAGCTAAGCTATTAGCCTCTTATCCTCCCCACCACCCTGCCTTTCTGTGAGTGAGGAATCAGGCTGTGGCTTCCTGTGTGGCCCTGGCTCAGGGCTCATCTTGAGCATGTTGTGGGATGTTGGTCAGTGGTGGAGCAGGTGCCTCTTGGGCAGAAGCTCTGGTTTCCATTCCCACAGCCAGAGAAATGACTTTTTTCCACTGCATGAAACAGTATAATTTTTAATTACATTTATTTCCCTTTTTTTGTGCTAACACACTGCTTTTCAAGCTCCCCAGGTTTATGTACATCTCTATCTGCACAAGGTACTCACCCGTCTTTTTTGCACCCAATATTAGTGCACATTCATCCACTAATTCATGCCACCCTGTGTGTGCCTTTACACACCTCCGTGTCTCTCTGAGTGATTGCTCCTCTGTGAGCAGCGTCTTTAGTGGTTTCTCCAAATCAAGGACAATTGTCTGTTTTTTTTTTTTTAATTTTTTTAATATTTATTTTTTTAGTTTTCTGCGAACACAACATCTTTGTTTGTATGTGGTGCTGAGGATCGAACCCGGGCTGCATGCATGCCAGGCGAGCGCACTACCGCTTGAGCCACATCCCCAGCCCTAACTGTGTGGTTTTAATCACAGTTTCCCTTTACCACAATTGTTTCTTTCACCTTTCTTGGATTCCAAATATTTTAAAAATTACTTATTCACAACATTCATTTTAAATTTAAAGAACTGTGAATTATTTTTCATCCACATAAATAAATATTTGCATATAAATTTAATACTCATCACAAATAGTTGGGATTTCCGTTACATTCACCAGGAGCTCTATTATCTAGGAATCTCCTTGACACCATGGCACAACCTTCTACTTTCTTGGTAACATATGAGTGATTTTTCCAACTCTGATCCTTTCAAAAATGAAGGCAGGGAGTCAAGGGTGTCAGGCAGGGAGAGTGGAAACTGCATCCTCACTGTATTTCAGCTGGACACTGCAGATTAATAAGAGAATACAAGTTTAAGTGCCCAGTTAATAAGCCATCATTTTCCGTTCATAAGTTATTATAGGCTTAGGTATTTTTTGTGTTTGTGATTAGATTTGAATCCCAACTACACAAAGAACAGCATTTGCAAGCATAAAGGGACCTGCAGAAGGTCCCTATACCATCCCCTGCCTGTGCCCGAGTCCTTCCCAGGCCCCAGGTCCTGCTCCTCCTGCAGAGTTCACACTCATCCTGTCTGCTCATTCAGAAGGGGCCTGGACACCTCTGTGTTGACCTACCCATGCCAGGCCAGGCTGCTGCAGCTGACAGGGCCACTCATGGGTGTGACGTGAGCTGTGGCCCAGGTAGTCCTGGTCCACAGCCCTCAGCTACACCCTGTTCCCTGAGTTCCCAGCACCTTCCTCTCACAGGGCAGAGAATCTGCTGAGCTGCTACCCAGACCAGCAGCTCATGTGGCAGCTGGGCCACCCAGGCAGGCAGGTTTTTGTTCAGGGCTGCACCACTGTGGGAGGATGCTGTGTGGTTTGCCAGCAGTAATACACCCCAGAATCCTCAGCCTCCACCCTGCTGATTCTCAGTGTGAAATCTGTTCCTGACCCACTGCCACTGAACCTGTCTGGGACCCCATGTAGTGGTTGGATCCTTATATATTAGGCGCTGTGGAGCCTGGTCTGGCTTGTGCACAACCCAGTTTAAATAGGTGTTTCCATCACTGTGTAGGAGGCTCTGACTGCACCTGCAGGAGATGGAGGCTGGCTCTCCAGGGGTGACAGGCTCGGAGACAGGAGTCTGGGTCATGACAATATCCCCACTGGTTCCTGAAAAAAAAAATCATAGTTTAATGCAAGGTTATATAAATACTTTAGGAGAATTTGTGCTTTTTCCTTTATTGTGGATTTCAGGTTAACTTATTTTATGATTTGGTTTGTAAGGTAAAGTTATTTATGTTTAAAAACATCTCAAATATTGTGATTTAGAAGAGCCTCTCTAGAATTGACCTACAACATCCCCCTCATATTATGTGACAATATTGATCAGAGCCCAGTCCCTTGCTCCTTCTGGAATACACTCTCACATCAATTGACCTCAGCGGCCTCATCCTAGAAGACAGATCTGCACGTCTCTTACATGGATATAGCACACATGTGCAGAATTGGTGCCCAGGGCTCCCCTGGCTCCCCAGTCTCCCACCTTATCCCCTCTGTCCTCACCAGGGATCCAGAGCAGCAGCAGCCCCAGGAGCTGAGCAGGGAGCCTCATTTTGAGAAGCTGAGCTGAGGAGTCCTGGTGAGTCAAGGGCAGGTTTGAGCTGAGGTTTTATGTCAGCCTTGAAGGAAGGCCCTCCCCAGGGAACAGCATGCAAATGCCCAGGTGTGTGCTGGGTGGGGATAGGGACGGAGGGAGGGGCCTAACTTGTGAGTCCAGGGACATCAGATGTCTTCTATTTTTGGAGGAAATACAGTAGAGAAACAGCCCAGGCTACTTGTGGTGTGGGGAGGAGGCCCCATCATGGAAGCCTGGCTCTGTTGGCATCAGGTGCCTAGGGCTTTCCTCCATAAGAGAGCACAGACCAAGCATTTAGAGGTAGCCTGCAGGTCAGCCCCTGGTAGGGAACATCCACCCTGCTGGCTCCCTCACAACAGAGGATACAATGTGACAAGTCCCACTTCACAAGTGTTGATCTTTGAATTTCGACCCCTGTCGGCACCCAGTGGAGCCAGTTCTCAAGCTTCTGTGTTTGCTGTTACCTGGAGAAATATGAGACTATGAAGAAGAGTGTTAGATGTCCTCTTTCTTCATGTTGAAAGCAATAAGACCCCAAGTGTTTGAGAAGCTGAGGGGAAAAGGGTCCTGTGTTTCAGCCAGAGAGACAGTATCCTTGCCGAATGCCGAAGAAGGGACATGTATACCTGAAACTGTTAGTGTGGAATTCCCGGGGGCCAGATCCACAAACTGATGGACATCCTGTTGTAGCCATCTCCATATGTGTGACTCAGCATAGTCATGCAAACATTTCCCGAGAGAAGAACCCCTTAAGTCCACTGGGTAGGGTGGTCAGGGAGGATTCTAGAGCAATTCTCATTGATGGGGAATTCCTTCCTCCCTCTGCTGCTCCTTTTCAGGGCAATTGGAATCAGGTGTCACAAGTCCTGTGCTGAACAGGACACTCCCTCTGTGAGAACATCACTGAGTGGACTCTCTGCATGTACAAAGGTGATTCTCTCCGCCCAGAAATTTTCCTGGGCATTGCACCAGGGAAGGGCACTGGGGAAGTGTTCTGGGTCCATAGCTCTGGGACATTAGATTTAGACTTCCTCCTCCAGCTTGGGAGAAAAGGAGCCTTTGTGATTTTGGTCTCCAAGGCTGAGCTGCTTTTCCAGGCAGCCAAGGCCCTCTGACACACCTTGTCCACAGTGTGGGATATTGGTGTATGGGCCCCAGGAGCTGAGGACCCTGTCATAGTTTCCCTTAGCAACAATAAACTTCAGTGGCTGTCCTTCCTGGTTGAGCCACTGCCCTCTGCACACTGTGAGGAGCAGGTATGTTGGCCTGGTGGCCTTTTTGTGTTCTGAAGACCCAGATCCCCATTTGCCTTATCTTAATAAGCAGAAGCAAATGGAATGTCTTAAAATGGGTAGGATCTCATTGGAACAGGCACAAAGCCAAAGCTTAGAGTTTATCAATGATACCAGGGACAGGACGACTTGTCAGAAAGGGATTCAGGAGATATATGTCCTTTCACAGGCTCATCCTCAAGAATTAATATCTTCTTCAAGCCACGTGCTGTGGGGTTCACCAGTTGTGGTTCCTTGCAGTTCCAGGGGAGTTTGACTCTGATTTAATAATTTATTTTACTATTTTATTACTAAAAAAGTGATGTCCCACATTGTCTATCTGAGAGAAAATTAAGGGTCAGTTCACACTGATTAAATGGAAACTACAACATATATTTAGTTGTCAATATTATTTCTGGATTAATACTAAAATTCCCAGGTCAGTTATATAATAGGCTTTGAATATCAAATACTCTAAAGTGTCAATAATACCCAGTGTTGAGAGCCACAGCCGAAGGGGCCCCAGCAAACTTTCAGACTGCCAGCTGATGATTGGCTCACAGTGGCCCCAGCAACATCTAGCTGATTGGCTCCTCTGCGGTGATGCTCATTGGGCTGTTTCCCCGCCCTTTCAGACTACGGAGCTGCTCATTGGGGGACTTTTTTGGCTTTGCCCACATGACCCAGCCAATCGGCCTCAAGAGCAGGAGGAGTGGGTGAGGTTGGGAGGCTTGTGGGAAGCCGGTGGTGGCAGTTGGGCTCTGAGGGTTTTTCCTGAGGAGCTGTTTTGTTTGGCGTGTGTGGTTCTAAAAATAAAGTTCATTTCTTTTGACAAGTGGCTCCTGAATTGTGCCCAGCCAGACTGCAGCATTTGGTGGACCACACGGGGAGCTACTGAGGGTAAGTGATAAGGTAAATTGCTTGCCCCTGAGGGCAGGGTGAGAGGATGGGTAGCCATTTTAAGATTCCTCTTTTGTTTTGCTTCACTTTTGTTTTAAGTTGCCTGTCCCTGGAGATGAGTGAGACGGAAGAAAAACCGCTCACATCTGAGGAGAAACTATTTACGTCTGAGGAACAGATAGGGAGAAAGGACGGATGCACATGTCAGGAGGATAGAAAGGCTATAATGATTTTTTGTTGTTCCCTTTTTATTTCATTCTGTCTCTGTTTTGTTTAGCGTCATCTTGTTGGGTTGTACTATAGTAGAAATATGGGATCAGAAATTAGTAAAAAACAAACTGAAAGAGTGTTGATAAAGGAGGCATCTCAGTAAAATCAAGAACAGTCAGGGCATACGTTGATACAATACAAAACTGTAGCCCATAGCTTTTTAAGGAGGAGTTGTTAAATATATCACAATGGAACCATCATGGTGAAGATTTAAAAAGAATAGAAAAGAAAAGCGCAGGAACTCTGCCAGTTGGCACATTGACATTGTGGGCATTGGTATCTGGTTTGCTTAGTCCAAAGCCTTCAGTTCAGACAAAGATAGAGGAAGAAAGCTTAGAACAGAAAAAGCCATTAGGGGGAATGTTACAAAAGGAGACTGCTACTAACAACTTTCTATCACCAGAGGGCATAAGTGTCCAACCAACAGCGCCACCTCTACAGGAGACTGCTACTAACAACTTTCTATCACCAGAGAATGTAAATGTCCAATTAACAAGGCCACCTCCATATGCTGGGAGGCCCCCAACCACCGCAGTTCATAGTTGGGATCCTGAGACAGGATCTCAAGTATTAACATGCCCTGTATTTGAGGTAGGAGGGCAGCAAATTCACCATGCTTTAAATTTCAAAACAGTGAAGCAGCTAAAAGAGGCTGTAACAACCTATGGTCCTCAAGCACCCTTCACTGTTAGCTTGGACGAATCTATTAACAACTTGAACATGACACCAGCAGATTGGGCTAATATGTGTAAAGCTGTGCTAAATGGAGGACAATACCTGTTATGGAAGGTTGCCAATGAGGAATTTTGCAAGGAGATGGCTAGGCAAAATGCAGCAGCTGGTTATCCTCAGAGAAATCTAGATATGTTGTTAGGAAAGGGACCTTATGAGGATCAGCAGCAACAAATTGCATATGATCCTGGCGTATATGCACAAACTGCTACAGAGGCGGTTAGGGCATGGAAGATTTTACAAGGACATGAAGGTTTACAAGGTCAATTATCTAAGGTAATACAAGGAGCTAACGAATCTTACACTGAATTTGTAGATAGGCTTATTCAAACAGCTACCAGAGTTTTTGGGAATACAGAACAAGCAATGCCATTACTAAAACAACTGGCTATGGACCAAGCGAATCGTTGGTGCAGAGAAATCATTAGACCATGGAAACATGTAGATTTAAACACATATATTAAATTATGTAGAGACATTAATGAACAAGAGCAAGTCGTGGCAGCTGCAGTAAAACAGGCTTTAGATGCCAGAGACATTAATGAACAAGGGCAAATTGTGGCAGCTGCAGTAAAACAGGCTTTAGAAGCCAGGCCAAGAACATGCTACAATTTTGAACAAACAGGACATTTTAAAAGGAATTGCCCCATAGGAGGAGGGTTTAACAAAACTATGTATCAAAGGAGTAGAATACCAGGTATTTGCCCATGATGCCATAGAGGGAGATATTGGGCTAATGAATGCCATTCTCAAACCACCATAGAGGGTATTCCATTATCAAAAAACGAACAAGGACCAGGTGTTTATCCATGATATCATGGAGAAAGGAATCGGGCTCCATTGCCGAAAAATGGACAGGGGAGCCCAATGCTCTGGGGCCCCAAACCACAAATATACGGAGCACTGAAGGAACCCAGCAACCCCATCAGGGTAGTGCCCAGGACACATTGTCCATCAGATCCCTCATCAGACAAACCAGAGGGAGTGCAAGGTTGGACATCTGCGCCTCTGCCAGAGCAGTACTAACTCCAGAGATGGGAGTTCAAATCATTCCCACAGGGGTAAAAGGACCTCTTCTCAAAGGAACAGTAGGCTTATTATTGGGACGCAACTCTTCTACTCTAAAAGAACTTATGATAAGTCCTGGGGTAATTGATCCCAATTATGAAGGTGAAATAAAAATTATAGCTGGTTCTCCAAAGGATATATCAGTAATTTCACCAGGAGATAGAATAGCACAGTTACTAATAATGCCCAGCCTACATGATAAATTTTCCAGCTGTACTGTAGAAAGATGTTCCAAGGGATTAGGTTCCACAGGTGTAGATTGGTCTATGCTTTCTTTAAATTTAGATTCTCACCCCATGCTAAAACTAAATATTCAAGGACATGAATTTAATGGGCTACTGGATACAGGTGCAGACCTTAACATCATCTCTCTTCAAGAATGGCCAAAACATTGGCCATTACAACAAGCCACTCAAATGCTTTGAGGCCTAGGAGTGGTGACTAATCTCCATAGAAGTGCAATGCTATTAGACTGGAAGGATCCTGAAGGATGTGAAGGAACTATACAGCCATATGTATTGGATCATCTTCCTGTAAATTTATGGGGACGAGATGTCCTAGATCAATTAGGTTTGACATTAACAAATAACATCAATCAAAATGCACCTACTATTATGGCTAAACAAGGATCTAGGAAAGGAAAAAGATTAGAAAAACAAGAACAAGGTATGACAGCACCAATACAAATAGATCAAGGAACAGACAGACATGGATTGGATTTTCAGAAAGGGCCACTGAGACAATCAAAATTACTTGGAAATCAGAAAGACCAGTATGGG